AACTATGCTGACTCCGATCACGCCACTTATATACCCGATTCTAATCGAATCCACGACACTAGATATTCTGCATTATCGTTATATATAATTTATACTCGTTACACGACTGATTTTACACATGGTCTGAAACACATAAAAAAATTATTTTACAATACTTGATCGGACTTGATGTACATGTTATGATTATAATCCCACACCATTTTTTATTATAAAAAAATGGTGTGGGATTATAATAACATGTACAGATCAAAATAATTTTTTTATGTGCTTCACACCGTGTGTAAAATCAGTTGTGTAACATCCTGTTGATCTGCATTGATCTTATCGAACACAATTCGACCAATCAAATAAAAGTTAACCCTTATATAAATGGTAAAGAAAAACTTGATCCAAAAAAAATGACAAGTTTTCCAGACATTATTAAAATTCTCGTTCTTAGGCCCAATGAATTTACCGCAACTCACGCGCAAGACGCGTTAGAGATGATGATGGAGCAACGAGCGACATCAGCTCAAGTTTCTGCTTTTTTGGTTGCCTTGAAGTTAAACAAAAAAGATGAAGATCCAGAAATAGTTGCTGCTTGTTCTGAATCTTTACATAAATTTGCCATGAAAATAGATTTTTCAGCGTATGATGGCTTGCAGGATTCTCTCATTGATGTGGTTGGAACTGGTGGCGATGGAATGAATACTTTTAATGTATCAACCACTACAGCAATAGTCATTGCCGGTGCTGGGTGCAAAGTAGCTAAAGTATGAAATAATGAATTATTTTATAGATTTTTTTTTTATTCGTTACCCATGACTTATTAAAATATAATGAAATAGTTTGGTAACAGAGCTGCTTCATCACAATGTGGATCTGCGGACATTCTTGAAAAAATTGGATGCGAAATCACGAATGTAACACCTTCAAAAGTTCCACATATAATTAATTCTACAAATTTTTGCTTTCTTTTCGCGCCAACTTTTCATCCTGCTGTAAAGTATGTGGGGAGCACGCGACGCGAAATTCTTATACCAACTATATTCAATTTATTAGGGCCTTTGAGTAATCCAGCAAGGCCTAAAAGAGTTGTAATAGGTGTATATTTAAAGTCTTTAGGAAAACTAGTAGCTGATGCATTGGTATTAAAAGGAGTCAAGGAAGCCATGGTAGTTCATGGTGATATTGGATTAGATGAAGTGAGCTTTAAAATATTATGCACGTTTGTTACTTTTGGTTTACGACTAACTTTATTTCTCTTTTTATCATTGCAAAGATCAGTCCTGAGGGCCAAACCTTCGTAAGCTTATTCAAAAAATCCTACAACTTTTTATGATTTAATATATTAACTACTTATAATATTAAATTAGGTTTGGCATATTTCAAATTCCGTTATAAAAGAATACATTGTAACACCATCCGACTTTGGGTTGCCTAGTCATCCAATAAGTGCAGTTAAGGGAGGTACTCCTAACGAGAATGCAGAACTTTTAATTCAACTGCTCTCTAATAAATACGAAGGACCGATCTTAGATTTTGTACTTTTAAATTCTTCTGCTGCATTGGTTGTTTCTGGGCTGGCCAAAGATTTTAAAGATGGTGTTAAATTAGCGCGTGAAAGTATTATAAATGGTAGTGCTAAAAATGCGCTTGAAGAATTCAAGAGGCTAATAAGGAATGAGAACTAGCATAACTTATAATAGTGCTAAATTTCATTTTACTAAATCCCATATAGATATTATTTAAATTAAATCCTCATGGTTATTTTATCATGGAGTATGAGAGTATGCAATTTATTGATCGAATGTAAAATGAAATAAGTTCGAAACTAATAATGACCTTTTTATAGTCTATTAATTAAGATATATTACAAAATTAGAAATCAATGGAAATTTTGAATTATATTTTTGTTAATTTTTTCACTTTGTTAATTAAAAAATAAAAATCTTTATTAAGCAGCTTTACAACCTAATGAAATTGAAGAGAGTTAGATTTCCCATACATTACTTATGTAGAAAGGTCAGTTCTATACTTACGCAGTACCACGTTCAAAGTTTTCTTTGATTTCCCGAGTGTATTTATCATAAAATCTACCAATTTTCTCATTGAATCTTCTGTTACGTTCGTTAATGTATGTAATATCGTCGTCTTCATTAATAGGTTTTTGACGTGAAAATTTCTCACGTTTAGCCATTCTAAAAGATTATTAGTAAATTATAAACAAACAAATAAATAAATAAATAATATATACTGAATACTCTTAATATTTCTGACACTTACTGTTTGTTAAGGTCTTCTACCATTCGATCGACTGCTTCACGACTAGGCACGTCGTCTACGCTAGCATATTGTAAAGAATTGGCATCTCTATAAAATCTAGATTCTGAATCAATTGAAATAACTTCTCCGTCTGCCGTAGTGACAACACTCGCTAATGCCATAGCTTTAGCTTTTTTTTCATTATATGCATTTAGGTCAGGAGTAAAATCATTTATCATTCTTTTATATTTTTTACGTGCAACTTGATTATAATCTTGATATAATAATAATAAAATGACAAATATAAGCAAATAGTGAATATATAAGAGTATCTTATAAATTGAATTTACCAGTGAATGCAACGTCAGATCTTTTCAATTTCTTTTCTTGCTTCTTTTCCCATTTCTCAACTGACTCTGCGGAATATTCCCAGAATCTTTTTCGTTCATAATCCTCATCGTTTTCTTCTGCTTCCTAAGAATATAAATCAAATTAGAAAATTAAATAAAGATCTATATTGTCGAATAAATAAATGTATACTGTACTTGTCGAGCCAATAACTTTTCTGCTTCCACTCGTTTACGCTCCTGTCTAATTTTTTCCTTTGGATTAATTTTCTTACGATGATGTTCTTCATAGAGTTCTTGCCGATTTGCTTGTTCAGATTCATCCTGATTTGTAGAATAGAAAAAGATCAAATAATTTTTCTTTTATTATATTTTGTCATATTCAAAAGGTACCATTCGACTCCTAAGTTTTTTCAGACGCTCAAGTCGAGCATTCATTAATTCAGTAGGTGTTGACTCCTTTGATGATTCTTGCATACTTTATTACGACTGCAATTATTGTCTGGGAAAATAGTGTATAATTTAGCCAGTTCAATGTAAAAGAGTGCTCAAATCAATATTGCTGTACTATATAGTATTTACCCCATTTTTGATTGGGCAAATTTGCAGAAAATTTTATTGTCACACGTAGACTATCGTTATCAGGTCTTTATTTTTAACGTTTTTATTGAAACCAGCTATGTCGGATTCTACGGTAGAGGGTGGTAAAAAGAAAGTAACCACATTTAAATCGCTGGTAACATAGCAACCTTTTTACTCGACCTGTTTTGAAATAAAGAGTTAGACTTAGAAGTGTTTATACAGGGTGTTATAGAGCCATTATGTCAGGCATGTGAACAGCTTAAATATAAATTTCCAACAGAGATCCAAGCAGAATCTATTCCATGGGCATTGCAAGGTAAGAATCCATACCTAGCGTGGTTCCACTTTGCTTTGTTAAAATTTACTTGTCTATTAGGTCGAGACATAATTGGCTTGGCACAGACTGGCTCAGGAAAAACCGCAGCTTTTGCTTTGCCCATCCTTCAGGCGTTATGGGAAGCACCACAGGGCCTATTTTCTTGCATTCTGGCTCCTACGAGGTATGCCTAAACCGTACTTTTAAAAGATGATTGCGCATAAGACTAACTGTCGTTAAACTTTTTATTTGATAATGAAGAGAATTAGCATATCAAATATCCGAATCATTTGAGTCTCTGGGTTCTATAATTGGTGTTCGATGTGCTGTTATAATTGGTGGAATGGATATGATGTCACAAGCAATTGCTCTATCCAAAAAACCTCATATTATTATAGCTACTCCTGGGAGGTTACATGATCATTTAGAAAATACCAAAGGATTTAGTTTAAGAAATTTAAAATATCTGGTGATTATCTTTTATTATTTATCATATAATTATTATTTATGTGAACGATTAATTGATGCAAGTTATTTGGACCAGGTTATGGACGAAGCCGATAAATTATTGGATATGGATTTTGGACCTGTTATTGACAAAATTTTAAAAGTGATCCCTAAAGAACGACATACTTATCTTTTTTCTGCTACAATGACAACTAAGGTGGCAAAATTACAGCGTGCTTCACTAAATAGTCCGGTTAAGATCGAAGTTTCTTCAAAGTAAATACTTAGTATTGTGCTCTTTAATTAATTTCGTTTAATTAATTTCGTTTAATTAATTTCGTTTAATTAATTTCGATAATTAATTTCGAATTTATTAATTTATTTTTAAACTAGATATTCAACAGTATCAACTTTACTACAATATTACTTATTTTTTCCTCTTAAACACAAAGATTGTTATCTTGTATACCTATGTAACGAACTTGCGGGAAACTCTTTAATAATATTCACCAGGACATGCAACGATACGCAGCGTCTTGCGTTATTATTAAGAAATCTTGGGTTTCCTGCAATTCCTTTACATGGGCAATTATCACAATCTAAAAGGTTGGGATCTTTAAATAAATTTAAAGCTGGAAATAGAAATATCTTGGTGGCTACCGACGTTGCTAGCAGGTGACAACAGTGGACTTACTTATAACGTTGTTTGAATGCTTTTTTTTTTTGATAATAATTATTTTTGACAAATTTCATAGGGGCCTGGATATACCACTTGTAGACGTGGTAATTAATTATGACATTCCATCAAATAGCAAAGATTATATTCATAGAGTAGGACGAACAGCTCGTGCCGGAAGATCTGGTAAATCCATCACCTTGGTTACTCAATATGACGTAGAATTTTATCAACGTATTGAACAAGTAATCGGAAAGCAGATGGAACTATTTCCAATCGGAAGTAAAGAAGATGTTTTGTTGCTTCAAGAACGTGTTTCTGAAGCACAGAGAATTGCCACGTTAGAAATGAAGGAAGAACAGCAACAAAAGAAAGGAAGTAAAAGAATTAGAAGTGAAGGAAATGACGATTATAAAGACAGTGAAGATAGAGATCTTATCATATCTAGCAAGTTGAGTAAAAAAGCAAAGAAAGTCAGGAGATGAATCGATTGATCCTTAAAAATTATGTATAGTAGATAATTGTCTGGAACGTAATGGAGGACTCTATTCATATGCAAAATGATACCAAAAATTCCGGGTTTGATATAAATTTCAAAAAATAACTTTAGCATATCCATATAAAAATGACTTTAATAAATTATTAAATCACGAGACAAAATGATATGAACCTCAAATAAAAGATTTCTATTTAATAATAAAGGGTGGCTAAAATTCTGTTATAATAACGATGTATATAATGTGTAATAACGTTTTCTGATTCAGTAGCTTATCGATTCAGCCTAGAGATGGGCAATGTAATAATTATGTAGCGACCTTACATATTTCATAAATTATTACATATATACGTATTATATATATTATATATATATTAAGTAATTTGAACGTTAATAACATACTTATATACAATGTCAAGTTGGCCTTTACAAAATTTACAATTCGACATTTGCTTGTGAACTTCCAGTTGGTTCTATTGGCTTAAAGCCAAATGCATATTTTGCACATTTTGTAATCTTTAATAAGCCTATATCTGGCTCTGCCGCAGTAGTAAGTTCTTATATTAGAAATTTACAAGCATTTCCTTTAAAAGTTCAAAATTATCTTATTAATGCTCAAAATTAAACGACAAAAACATTTACATGATACGGGGATTACTGGATTAGCAAGATAGATAATTTAAATCATATTATTCAAAATAAAGAAAATAGGTTGGATCAAATTATTCAAACTAATACTAATGAAGCAAGTCTTGAAATATTGTATCGAATGTTAAATTTATTAATGATATGGAAGATAATGTTAATAATTTGATGAACAATTTAAAGAAAATGTAATGCAAACAATTGAAAACATTAATAAATTTAATACTATATAACTATATAATGAAGCCATAATTGAATCTTCTATTCAAGCTACGCTTAGAAAGCTGTAATGTTTATCATTAAATTAATCATTAATTTATATTATGGTAAATTAATACGCCAAAATAAATAAATCAGTTATCAGAATATTTTCCTGGAATGCTTGAAAAATTGTCGATGACTGAATCTCTTTGTCTTAATTTCCAGTCGGAACATTAAAATTAAACGTGATGGTCTAAATTACTATAGAGTAACTGTATAAAAACTGATAAGAGCTCGTAAATTATCTGAGGACCCATCCCATAAAGTAAACTATATAAAAAACTGATAAGCAACTGATAAGTATCTCATAAAAAATTTTACTTGTAGTCACTCCAAATCTTGCATATGATTGGTTCAAAAAACTTTTATGCTAATAAAAATTGGAAATTTTCGCCCATACGATCAGAAAATTTTTCAGTTGTCCCGGAATTATGAAAGCATCGACGTTTATTTATTAACTGTTAAGCCAATTTCTACAAAAATACATGATATGGCATGATAGAAGAAGAATAAAATTGCATTGATAATTTGCTAAAGTCCTCCGGATCAAAATTCGTTAAACACGTAAATTTGTTTTTGTTGCACGACATAAATCATGACAGACGTAAAAAATATCAAAATTACGTTAATGATAGTTTTATTAAGAATATATCAAAAAACGTAATTTTGTTCATCAAAAGTGCTTAGAAATTGTCTTCCGCTTTGTCCCGGACAACGTGTTAGCGGCAATCATTGCCGAATCGTATAACTTATTGTCTGCGGACTTCACGTGAGGTGAGATTATAAGCCTATTTAATAACGCGAAAAAATCAATAATCACAACAAAAGTTTTTTTTACTTTTTTACTTTTTGCAGAAACTGTTTGTAATCCAACATGTCTTCCGATATATTAAGCGTTGGTGTGATAAAAGAAATGTTTGAGGCCGTTAGCGAGGACGGACCGAGGCCAGAAAGCCCGGTGCTTCAAGTTGTAAGATTTTCTTCTGCAAATCAAAATAATCCAAATGAATCTCTGCAATCCAGAGTAAGGTACGTTTGAAATCAGGTATTACGTGGATACTTACGCGTTCTATACATCTATTAATATAATATAACTTTTTCCATGTTTCGTTATATAGAGTGGCCTTTTCTGACGGACAGGAACTTGTATCAGGTACTTAATTAAGCTGCAATTTTTTATTATCATGTTTACGAACGAAATATTCATTATTTTTGCGATAACACAGGAATTATACCTGTTAATTTACTGAGGAGTATAAGTGGGGGCCGTCTTGAAAGAGGTCAACTACTCAGGCTGACTCACTATAATTGTAGTATAAGTCAAAGCACCAAAGGGCAACAACCCCAAAAGTAATATTTTGATTGATTGTCTTTTAAAATTATCTTATTTATTGTTTACTTATTAATCACTGATTCTTATATTTAGAGTAATAGTTGTCAGTAATTACGAAGTAGCTAGCAGCGAACTACAACCTATCATAGGTAATCCATTTCCTGGACAAGACACTGTCACCGAACGTTCTCGACCTTTGGCTCATCCGATCCCTCAACCTTCGGCACCACCAAATCCTCAACTTCCTCAACAGCCTGCTCCAACGTTTCCGCGATCTGTCCCTGGTATCCAGCAACAAATGAGACCACCTACACCTACTTTTAACGGAGGAGGTATCATGAGATCCAGGTGAATTTTTTATTTCGTAATTTAATACATTAAATCGAGCATGTCATTTACGTGAATACCATTTCAGTTCCAATGATATGCGGCGAACATCAACAGGTCTCGCTGATGAAGGAATTTTCCCTATCAATTTACTTAGTCCATATCATAACAAGTATGTTGAGTTCACATATTTAATTTAATTTATTTGATTTATTTATTTTATTTAATTTATTTAATTTATTTATTTTATTTATTTTGTAAAATTTGAATTTCATCTTATTATTTGTCGTAGGTGGAAGATTAGGGCCGTTGTTGGCTCAAAATCGGACATCAAACTTTGGCAAAATCAAAATGGTTCTGGAAAATTATTCAATTGTACTCTATTAGATGAAAGTGTAAGCTATAGTTTATTTAAATGGTTTAGCTGTCAAAAAATTGGTTTTATAATATACTTAAATTTTATATATATTCGTCTGTTATTTAGGGTGAAATAAAAGCGACGGGTTTTGGACAGCAAGTAGACGCCTTTTACGATAAATTGGAGGAAGGAAAGGTATGATATAACTTATCTGAGTCTTTATCATTAAGACGTGAAAAATTTTGTCTTATAATATATTTTCTTTTTTATCTATTTAAATATAGACTTATTTAATTTCAAAAGCAAAGGTTAATGTCGCTAAAAAAAATTTCTCGCCGGTTAAAAACGATTATGAAATATTATTTGAGACTGGATCTATAATTGAGGAGGTTGCCAATAAGAATCCAACCGATCTTATAAAGTTTGATTTTGTTCGAATTGAAAATATAACACAATATGAAAAGGATAATACCATCGATGTTATAGGCATGGTCATTAACGTTGATGACATTCAACCAATAACGACCAGAACAACACAAAAGAGTATTAACAAGCGTGATCTTACCATTGTCGATCAAAGTGAATGTCAAATCACATTGACATTGTGGGGTCAAACTACAGAGAAATATGGTCCTTCATTATTGAATACGGTTATTGCCTGCAAGAACGTTCGAGTAGGCGATTTCCAAGGACGCACTTTATCAGCTTTCAATGGTACTACATTGCTCACCGATGTCGATATTAAAGAAGCCAGAGAATTACGCGAATGGTTCTCAATGTTAGAAAACGGCAAATCTTTTACATCTTTATCTTCATCAGGTTCTGTAACAATAGATAGAAATGAGCCCAAGAAGTCTTTAATTCAAGTTAAAAATGAAAAACTTGGAAACGGGGAAAGAGCAGACTACTTTTCTACAAAGGCTACAATCTTATTCATAAAAAGGGAGGGCATATCATACCCTGCATGTCCCACCTGTAAAAAGAAAGTACTTGAGGATGGAGATGAGTGGCGATGTGAAAAATGTTCACGAAACTATCCAGAACCTGATCATAGGTACGTACTAAAGTATTAATTATTTGAATTTGATTAGATGACTTTTTTTTGACGTATGCATTTAATGATTTAGGTATATAATGACGGTCAGTGTGGCTGACTTTTCAGATCATGCTTGGTTTCAATGCTTTAATGAAGGTGGTGTCGTTATCCTGGGATGCGAGGCCAAGGAGCTTATTCATCTATGCGTGATTATTTTAATTTTTTTTTTCTTCTTTTTTTAAGAATTATGCACAGACTTAATAGACTTTATTGATTTTGATATAATAGAATGAAAGCGTAGATTTGTATGAGGAACGGTTTGACAAATCATGCTTGAAATCATTTGTGTTTCGATGTCGTGCTAAGACTGAAATTTATAATGTAAGTAAGGTTGATCAATATTTGCCATTATTTATACTAATATGTTTTGCGCTTTAGGAGCAAACTCGAATTCGGTACACTGTAACGGGAATAGCACCAATTGACTACGTCGCACGGACTCGAGATTTATACCAGGCTATAGGCCAAATGGAGTAAAGTCCTACCTAATATACAACTTTATAATTGCATAATTCTGAACAGCCTAATCAATATATACTGTATAATTCAATAAAGTTTTAAATGCATAGTTTAAAATCATAATCATCTATTTAATGTATATAGTTCACATAATATTGTTATTACACATTCTAACGCTAATAGATAAATATCAATATGTGCATTGTGAACTAGCGGCAGCAAAAAAACGGATTAAAATTTTTCTAATCGTTAAGCAAATTAGACTAGACCTCCAAATATGATTGATAGCTGTCGAATAAAAAAAATTTCAAGTTTTTACTATATACAGTATACGCTGCCTGCGAATACTAGTTTTATAATAAAAATTTAAAAAATTGATTTTAAAATCAGTTTTTTTTTATTAATAATTTTATTTATTTATTACAGTCAAATCTCTTTATAATCACACGCTTGGAATACATAAAAGTGTGATTGTAAAGAAGTGTGGCAATTATAGAAGTTAAATTTATTATATTTAATAATAGTTTGTTTTTTAAAAATATGTTTATAGTCAGATCTCTCTAAGTGCATGGTTATCAGTGTTGGGCAAATTAGTGATTAACCAAAAATTTACTAGTCAAATTGGTCTGGTCAAATTGGTCAAATCTATTATATAAATATAATATATATATTATAATAAATTATATTTACCTTTAACATTAAAAAAAAATAAAATAAAAATAAATTATATTTAAATATACTATATGACCAATTTGACCAGTACAGATCCTTTGACCAGACCAGTCAAATTGGTCAAATTGGTCAGGTCCAGTGATCAAACTAGTCTGGTCAAGCCAATACTGATGGTTATATAAACACACTCTAAATACACAATATAGTCCGGTCCTAGTTTATTTCTTAAACCATTTAAAATTTAGAACAAATTTGTCTTGAATTTTATTATAAAAATACTTCTGATATTTTTTTAAAAATTTGATATATAGTATTTAATTAAAAATTTTTTTAAATAAAAATTAAAAGTAAAGATTATGTTTTTGCAAAATTTATATTTAAACAAGATAAAAAATCAACTTACTTATAGGCTAATAATATACAAAATTTAAAAAAATTTTTAATTAAAAAAAAAATTTACAAAAAACTCTTCCCGACGATCATCTAGACCAAAATTCCTACTGAAGAAAACCAGAAATTTTGTTGGAGAGTTGTGGCCTAACATAGCGGTTTGCCTAGAGGTCAATAATTTCTTTACCGGGACTCCTCTATGTAGACATTTGGCATGCAAGCCAAAAGTGTTATTATACAAGATAACTGGCAGGAGGTGCTCTTGTATAAAAAATCTTGGTGGTGAAGAGGACTCTTTGGATATTTCAGACACCCCTCTTTTGCCGTCAACGAAGCTCTTAGGTCATTACTTCAAAGAAGAACATAGGGGAACAACAAAATATTATGTTTTTCTTTTAAACCGCACTTTTTTCACTTGGTCAAGTGGTTCCTTTTTACTCTCTCTCATTTTCCCATCGGTCTTTCAAAAAAATTCAACAAAAAGTGGGGATTTGGCTTACCTCTTTCTAAAGATCGGCATCATTTACTTTCCAAATTCAGACAGATTAGTGGAATGCAACCATGTGTTTGTTTACGGATGAATATAGCGCTTTTTCACAGAACTTAGCCTGGGAACTCTAATTACGGCAGCAAGTGGCTTGAGACACGGGTCCTCAGACGACGGCAGCACCTGGCTCAAGATACAAATTAGGACAGGCAACAAAGCTATCCGGAGTTGGTGAGAAGGTCGGAAAGTAAATTTAACGTTAAGGTGAAGTTTTACAGTAGAGATATACAAATGTTGCATTTGGTATATAATTTTTATCAGCCACGCACAGGTTATAATAGTGCTGTTAGGATTTTAGATTTCTTTTCATGTTTTTTCTTTTTCGCAATCAGTGTTTTTTTTTTTTTTTCTGTTTTTTTTTTTCCTGGTCGTTTTTATAACTCTTTGTTAAAAATTTCCCCTTTTGTCTCGTGCCCCTTGAGAAGAAGGAAGAATTAGAAGGGAAAAAAGAGATCCTAATACGGTATACAACATCCGGTCAAATAATCGAGGAGGGTATCCTTTGTCAATACAAAATCTGAAGCAAGTTTTGGATCCCCTTGTGAGGCTAATAGTTGTTTTAGCAAGTCACATTGGGCAGTACTTTGTACACTTAGTGAGTTTCTATTAGAATAGAGCATTATACTATGTCAGGAGTTACTTATGTAATAATCGTATAGTAGTTCATAAACTAAATAGAAGCAGGATTGCTTAAATTCAAAAAAAAAAATTACAATTATTTGAAATTTTTTAAATATTAATTATAAATTTATAATTTCTTAATAGAAATTGTAGTTTAAATAAAAAGAATGACAACTTTTGTTATTATAACTTTTATAATTTATTTGTAAAAATTAAGACTTATAAAAATATATAAAATTTTAAAAATTTATAGAAAAATCTTATAGTAAAAAGTTCAAAGTAAAAACTTTAAGATATGGCTATACTAAATTATTCAGATAACTGGGTAATTTAATAATACCTAAGTAGAGATTTTCTTGACAAGTACAATCTCTAACTAGACCCTTCTAGTGAGGATTTTTAAGCCACTTGAAGGGCATATGTAGAATCTGTGCTCGGTTTTTAATCACGTGATGACGATCATTCGTACTAAGTAAAAATAAAAATTATTAA